AGCTAAGTCAAGAGTGAGGCCGTAACTCATCAGAGTTATTGTATAAGGGTCTCACTAAAATTAAAGATGAATATCATTTTGATCCAAATAAAATGAATCAATAATAGTGAATCCACCTTAAGGTCTCGATACCCTGCTTATTACTCCTTGTGGATCATTGGTGAACAGTGGCGAGGAGTTTCAAATAAGGACAACACGAATGTTTAGTATCATTTGCTTTCGATTAGCCTTCAATCTGATACCAGTTCGTGATGAGAACTATCCCCAATCCGCTTTGATTTCTTTTATCTCAGCTTCAGTTAGAATTAGCGTACGATAAAAATTTATGTATTAGATAATAAAGCTGATTTATTAAACACACTCATGATATCTCGTGGATATAAATTGTTTTAAAAACGCCTCTTTAGTGACAAAATCACTTACAATCACTTTAGTATTAAACATTTTGTAGTACCTAGTGGACTGAGAAACAGCCTTCATTTACGTTTTCATAAAGTTAGTCGTTGTAATTTATACTAAATGTATCATTACAGACAAAACAAATAAAGATTAGTGGTATGTTTTGTATGTATGTCGTGGATGGCTTTTAGAAAAAACTGACGAAATTCAGTGGGACAATTTGTTTCACGATAACAGAGTTAGCCGAGTTTTACTTACATAGACACATGTTATTAATCCATCAATGAAGAAACTTATAGGTTGATAAGCTTCGAAATATCATCTAATCCCTAATACATGTCTATGCACCTATCTTAATGATAGATAATCAAAACCCTAGAAATTTTCTTTAATTGATTCTTACATTAGAAAAGTGAGATTAGCACTAGGACTGAGCCCAGTTTACATAACAGAAAATCAGTGAATAACAACTAAATATCATGTTTCTTTTAGCGTGAAGATTCTGATTTCATACTACTATTGTTACTCTAGTTGATATTGAGATCATGTTAACTGTGTAGATTCTCTTTAACCTTAGATGGATGCTATTTGTTGAACAGCCCCATACTAGGACGAAACGACCACCCTGTGCTTCCAGGTTTTCGATGTTGGTTTAACTTAGACCGACTCATGGTTTAAATGAATCTCAAGAGTCCTTGTGACTCCACACTGAAAATAATATATTTGTAAGTCTTTAAACGTCAGTGTCATTTGATTTGATCACCAAAAAAATAACGTTCACTGTTTTGTTTAACTATTAAGAATATCGAAAGTAAATGGGAACCGAACCTGACAATGAATTATTCATATTCAACTTTATAGTAAAATCTGACCACATTAGGTAAACTAAGTTGAAACTTGTTAACAATGAGAGATTTTCAAAAACATCACATGGTAGTAAACATATTACTTGGATCTTAAATACTTTTTGTGAGAAAAATATATTCCAAATGCAAAGTATTTATAAAACTCAGTAAATACTTGAAAATAGTTACTGTCTTTATTGATTCATACTTCAAGTGTTCTTTCATGAGTTTAAAAAAAAGATACTCAAATGAATTCAGTTATCTAATAACCGATAAGTAAATAATCATTGATAACTAAACTGAAATAAATGTGTTCGTTTATTTATTCTACTAATACTGTTGTTTATTTAATCCGGTAAGAGTAAATGGTTATTTGTTGTTGTTTGCTTTTTACTTTACTGTAAATATGTAAACGAGTAAACAAACAAACAATTTCTGAGAATTATTTCCAAGAAAAAAAAGAAGAAGTGCTTATTAGATTTACGGTAATGAACTTATTGATTATTTGTAATTGATTATTTATGGAAAAAAAAACTGTAAACAAATCTTGTTGAGATCATTTATTGTTTTTGATATGTTTTTGGTAACTAGCAAGGTCACTTTGTTTGGCAAAAATGTAATTGGATTTTGATAACATCCATATGATTGAGAATTGTTTGCCATGATTGATTTATATACTTAATACAAAGTTTATAGTGGCTTAGTTTCGTCAATTAACCACCTTGATAACCGTTATTATATAAATCCTAACGGTGCTTGAATTCAGAAGGCAATATGAAGCGGCAAATATAGTTTATTAGTGGATAGTACAGATAACAAAGTTATAAGCACATCGCGCGAATTTGAAGCAGAGAGACTAATGTGTGTTTGCGAGTGAATTTATACAGAGGGGAACCGAATCAAGGTGCAACTAAGTAAAACAAAAGCTATTAATAGGATTCGAGCACATATATACAAGGAAAAGAGGATGACATCCAAGCTAGACAGAGATATGTGCATATGTTGTCATATGTGGATCAAGCGTACACGTTTATAATAGTTTATAATTATGATGATAATGATCATAATAATACGAAGAAATAGATGAATTTTTATTGTCCAAATAATACTTTCTCTTAAATAAGTTAATAAAAGGGCTTAACAAAAGTCAACCATAGTCGAAATTAACCGTAGGAGAGTTGCTATAACTTTTAAAAACTTCATTTTTGTTATTTTATTTAATTAACAATCTGTAATTCTTAATCTGCAGCTTTAAAGGATTTAAGTACGTTATACTTGGTTATCCTTTAGGTTCATCAATTTGAATTTATAAGCGTAAAACATGACGAGAAGTTATTGGGAAGGAAATTCTTCATTCAGCTCATGCATGTTTGTTGTAATAAAGTAAAAATATTTAAATAGTTTATTTTAAAAAAATCTTGTTTGATTGTTGAGTAATTAAGTATACTGTGATTGGAACTGAATTCTCATATAAGTCGAACTTAGTTATATGACAACAATTCCTAATTTGTATTATATGTTTAGTTTTTCAAAGTAATCAGAAGCTACCACGAGAATCATAAACTTGTAATTGATTGTCATGTACTATTATATCACATAAATGTAGTGAATGATTTAAAGTAATAATGGTTTGAGTTCAGTATAATCTTAGGTTATCTGTTTTAACAGATAAGCCAATAGCTTTCAGTCTTCCTATCAGTGATTTCCTAATTTATCTATGATTAGATTAACGTAAATTTTCTTCTAGTATCACATAAATTGTTTGTTGACATCTTTATTGTTTACAAGTATTATATATTTAAATTAAAAGTCTAATGAATTGCCTCAATGTTCGCTTATAATTAAGTACAGTTGAGATAATAAAACAAAAATATTTACAAAAGATTTCAACCCTGCAATAACTCGGAAGTTATTCATTATTTTTACGTAATAGAAAATTGTAATGAAATGTTCGATAAGTGAAAATCAACGTGAGGGTTAGATCACAGTTAGGATCATTTTTACTTTGAATCATCTAGAATGTAAAATACAAGTTCAAGGACTATCCAACATCAACTAGTAAATTTTAATGACACACATTAAAATTAACTAGAATACATTATATTGAATTTAACAATACTCTATTGCAGTGGTGTAATGGATATTAAAAATAAGCTTTATATCCTACTTAGTCTACTCCAGTTAGGAAGGGAGTATGACAGTAGTATTAATAGTTTTGAGATAGAAAATCCAACTACAACTTTTAGGTTTTTACGGGAAATTCAAATATAATGTATAATGAGCAGTTCCAATACCATTAAATACTACTTAGAACTATTAAGAAGGAGGTGAAAAATTATTTTTGCAACCACAGAGCAAGGTCGATAGTTTCTCATGTATCAGATATACCCTTTGTTTATTGCTGTCAATGTATCAAAAATAGAGTTTCGTGAAAGCTTACATTTCAATATATAATGTTGAATATATCTTCGAAAAAAGTGGACATAAATTCATATGGCAAATTTAAAGTATGTATTATTTGAAATACAGTTGTGAAGGTGGATTCTTAGTAGGGTTATTAACAATAAATTATATTTATCTCATAAAGCTGTTAAATATATTTAGATAATTGAGATAATGAGCCATTTGAAGCTGTACCACCATAGAAAATCTGGAAGCACGGGACGGCCGTTTCGTTCTATTACGATACTCCTCAACAGTGCGCAACCACGACCCCCCCGCGGGATTCGAACCCAGGAACTATCAGTCTTGCACGCGAGGTCCTGCATAGCGCACTGCTGAGTAAACGATCGTCCAGTGCTTGCAGGTTTTCTATGGTGATCCAGCTTCAATTGACTCGTGATCTCAACTATTGAAATTACTGCGATCTCCACATAACCCCTTCAAATATATTTAGATCAATAGATTACGAAAATTAGTTTAGTTTGACGATAGTTTCCATCACAATCTGCCAATAGTCAAGGGAACACTTCCCGATTGTCCCATATTTTATTTAAGATTACTCAGTCCATAATGTAAACCTGCCTTTACAGTTGTATATTTCATTGTTAACTTTGATTAAATATTTGAAATGTTTTCTAAAAAAACACTATAACTAAATTGAGGCTTTTATCAGTTTTTAAGCTTTTTTGAATAATTTCACCAGCTCCTATGTCAGTGCATCTATCTAAGCTACAAAGCTTTGTGTTATCATTTCAACGATATTCCTGTTTTCTACTAACCTAAGTATAAATTAGGAACATTTTAAGTATAAGTATTAGATTATTTAGAAACATACATAAAGTTACATATCCACTTCATTTATTTAGCTTGACTAGTTCACTTGATAAATCATGGACAGTCGTTTGAATGAGTCAAAATTATGAATTCAATATTTTCATTAGATTTACTAATTCATTCAAGATGACATAACATTAATCAAATGACTTTTGATAAACAGATTGATCTTTTTCTCTTAAAGTTATTCATTATCTATTTGTACTTTAATTCTTTTTTTTTGTATGATATAACTATTAAGTGATTACATATGTATATCAAGATTAAAACCATTCGATCATCAAACTAAATATACACTTGTCTTAGTCAGTTTTATCAATAACAATATGACCTATCATCTCCATTATATCTTATCTTACAATGACAAATATGTTGGATGAATTAATCGATTTTATGATGTAATAAATAATGAGTTAATAAAGTGATATTAATAATAATAATAATAATCAATGAATTGGATCAATATTCATGTTCACTTACATGTTTGATCATTGTCTTTTCTTCTATGCGCGTAATGTTCCATAGCTGAAATAGTTCAAAAATAAAAACAATTAAGTTAGTTATATAAAGTGGTTTTCAGTTAGTGATGAAATTATTTTATTAGTAAAAATATTTGTTTAACAGAAACCAAACATAGAGATGGATTGCAAAAGTAAAATCAGTTTCTTTTTTAGAAGGACCCTTATTATAAAATGATATGCTATGATGAATAACAAAAAGGTAAACATTTCATCATTGTTGGGTTTCAACCTCATTTGGGATTGTATTGAATACCTAACGAGAACTTTATTCAATAGAAATACAATGATTACAATTTTACAACGTTACTATTTTGTAGCTCAGTGAATTGATGGGTTATTTTAAGATGTATTTAAAGAAGCACATCTGTATGATAAATAAGATGATAAGAACCTTCACTCTGCTTTGATTTATGCATAATCTGTAACTTACACTGCAATTTTTGTGTAACTTAGTAACGTTCATTATGAAGATTTATAAATACTATTCATTATTGGGTTTGAGGGAATTGCTGTATTGGTAAACTATTCTATCAATAAACATACGGTGTATGTTGTCGTTTGATAGTCTGATCTAGATAAAGACATACGGTGAAGATCCAGCGCTATTTAATATCCTCCTGTGCACATTTCACTGGTCACAAACACTCTACGCACTTCCAAATTATCATGTTCTTGCCACTTCTGTTGTTGCATAAATATTCCCTCCATTCAAATAATGTTATTCTCTTTATTCACCAGTGATTAGGCGTACACGAAATATGGAAAAACATTTTAGCATGTTAGTTTCATTTCGTTATAATCCACTGAAGCCAAATCCCCACTTTGCCAGGCATCATAAAACTTTCGCGATGTCACAGCAAGCAAAGTGTTGTTAATCTTCGAAGTTATGAATCTGTAGACATTATCTAGAGTTTATTTTCGTTTCTTCTAATGTCTTGGTTTTTCATTACTATATATAAGATGTATTTGAGTAGTATTGTACTTAAGTAGTTTTTCGAAATTTACCTAAAATGGTAAATTGTAGGTTTTTACAGTCAACGTATTCAATGGATGCTTAAGAAGTCTATCTGTTCATCATACTTACCATCCATCACTCAGAATTAACCATAGTACCTTAAACTTAACGATATTGCATAATCACAGCAAACTGATATGCAGTAGGTAATGAATAATAGCGAACTTATTTTCTTTCTGTTAGTAGAAAAATAGCTATCTTTGAACTATGAAATCACTTTCTATTGCAATCTACCCTGTCCACAGATATCAATTAGCCTTTTACAAAACTTTTTAATGGTAGGTAAGTAATCTAATAAATAAAACATTTAAATCAGGTAATTTAACTTTAGTGCAATAGGCAACATAAGAATAAAACCTTTATAAAGTAGAGAGCTTGATGTGTATGTTACTACTAACATTGGTAATGTTAATAATAATTCAGTTTGTAATGGGCAATTTAAGATCTGGCAAAAATGTACATTATCCTAAGTTGTCGTACTATATCAGTACGGTGAGATAAAATGAATAAGTGAAATATAAAAATAGCTGAAACAAAATTAGTATCTCTGATGCTAAAAATAAAAAAGTATAGGAGGAGAGTATGCGAAAAGAAATGGATTGCGTACATAAAACATACGAAATATTATTAAACGTTAGGACTTAGTAAAAGATATAAAGTGAATTTATCATAGTCACTTTGACTAACTGTGAGCTGTCACCCGACGAATTCAACCACTGATATTGGTTATCTAACAGAATCCAACCCGATAGTCTGCACATAACGATACGGCTCAGTCTGATAGATAGTATTGGTTAGAAATGATAACTTGATTAAAAATGCTGAAAAGAGTCACTAAACTATCTATTACGAAAATAGATGTTTCTTATAAAATTATGCAAAATTAGCGGTTTGTTTAATCAGCCAATATTTTGTTTCATATTATGACACTAAAAAACTGATAATTAACTTGAATTCAAAATGGAAGGTTAGTGTAAATTTACTTGTTTACCCATTCATGTAATCGGTGTGTTGATTAACAATTACTACATTTTACAATTAGTAATTTTGACTAATAAATAGACTTGTTTAATTGAGTCCAGTTGACTGAACCTATATTAAGTATCGAATAGTCATGGCACTATGCGAATATGTCATTTTTTACAATCAAATTTAATTCACATTCCGCTTAACATTAAGAGAATTATTATAAAACATAATAATGAATGATGACCATATCACTTCATGAGTTATTGCTGTGAAGTAAAAATATTTTTCAATCGTAAAAACAGCTGAGGAATGTATCTGCTGGAGACAAATTCTTTTTTAATGTTACATTAGTAAAGACAATCGAGTAAAAGGCCCTTAGATCAAACTTTCTGTTGATTTAAAATGATCAGTGGGACACACTAGAGGTTGAGCGTTCATGTGCGAGACCTAAAATCCTTGGTTCTAGTCCCGAACGCGGGATCGTGGATGCGCACTGCCGAGGAGTCCCATAGTGGGACGAAACGGCCGTCCAGTGATTCTAGGTCTTCAGTGGTGGTCTAGCTTAGATCGACCCATGAATTCAACTATTAAGACATTTTAGTGTTTTTTTTTAAAGTATTTACTATTACCAATTAGACAGGTTGCACAAACTTTCGGTACCAATTTTTTGAGTGACTACCTTTTAAGCGTCATTGATATAATTTAATTAATTCTAGAAATAGTAATGAAAAGCTTGTTTACTGACCAGTTAGTATATGTTCGTCTATCAATGAAAGTTTTACCCACAATTGGTAAACAAATCTATGTGAGTAACTGATTTCCATAGATTGAAGTTATTATCAGTAGTCAGATATCTAATCATTCAGCTAACAAATTAGACAAACACTTATATAATTATTACTGACAGTTAACTTGCCTATTTACACTTCATCATCATAAATATACCGTACAATTATTCAAAGATATCTGCAATAATTTATAGTAACTTAAGATATCCTCTGCTTCTTATTTCTTTGTTAATTACTAATCAGACTCCAACGACACCTTAGTGCCAGTATTCCTCAGTTTGAGTTAACTTCATACCATTATATATAAAAAATTATATGGAATTCATCATATTGATTAAACTGTACAAAGGAATTGCTTGTTTATTAGTGTATAATACTTAATTTGTTTACAATTTATTGAGACTAGATTAATTTATCTTAAAGATTTTCACACATTTATTGCTTAGAAGTTTGATATCTTTCATGAATGTTACAAACTGTAGATTTTTAGTAAATTTGGAGTTCTTTTCATAATAAATTCAGATCAGTTAGAAAAGCATTTAAACTAAGTAATGATATTGAAGTTGGTCTATCCTTGGGAAGGCCTGTCTACAGAATTAAGAAAACTACCAAACTCCTTAGACCGTAGCTAATCTTTACTTACTGTGCATCTTTAACCTTACATTTTTCATGTCTTATAATAAGCAATTTTAGTACAGAGAAAATCGAATCAAAATTTTATTGACCAAGCCTTCCTAACGTTATTCTGTTGTATAATAAAACTATTGTTCCGTACATTTTGGTAGTCGGATATTTTCGGAGGTGAAATTAAATTTTGTTTAGGCTTTAAGTGATCAACGTTTAAAAGCTTTTTAAGAAATTATTATGCTATTAAGTTAGAGGGATGATTAAAATATAGTCTTTGGACGAAAAAAATTTGGAAATTGTCAAATTTTACTAGAATAGATTATGTAATCGAAACAACATTACGTAATTGATAATATGAATGTCATTTTAATTAAACTTTGATATGTAACTAAATATAAATATTAAATCCCAAGCCGTTTGTGAAGACTAAACTGTCAAATTAAAGAACCCTTCAACTTTATCAGTGATGAATAACTTAGCAGCTGTCAAACAAATCAGACAGCAATGAAATGTTTATACAACCAGAAATGTTTTATAGAAATGTTAGATGTAATTTTTTTTTCAAACAAAACTCTGATTGCAGTTTACTCACTTTTATTAGTTGCTAAACAAAATTTATCAATTAAAAGTCCTATTTTTTTATTAAATTAACTCATCATTTCTTATCATGACAGTTTGTAGTCTATTGATATTCTAGTTGACATGCAGAGATGATCTGAAAATCAGATTCTTTCTATAGTATAGCATTCATTTTGAACTTCTAATGATGACAATGGTGATAGAGTAATTGATGAATCCCATTTACTTTAAATGAATAGTTAAATCAATTAGAGATTCCAGTAAAATATACAGTGAATAGATAACAGCTTGAAGAAGGATGTGAAACCTTGAAGGTTGGTAACACATAACACTGTTAAGTTTGGAATTATAGGTTCAATTTTAAAAGAGTCGTGAGTGGATAGTGTGGAACATTAAAACAGTGGTTTAGTGAGTAATTTATATCTAGGATCAAACATAAGTTTGTTATTCTTGTTCCCCATAACAGTATCCTTTGATGATTTTAACAGCCAAACTAGTTGTAGTTTGTAATATTGGAACAATATACCCCTTCATCTCAGCAATTTATTTAGAAATTACCTGCACAGAGCTCATTTTACTCTAAGTTTATTGCTGTCTTTTGAAAAAAAACCAAATTTGATAAATTACTCGTCAACAAATATTATTCTGCCATGTAATATGGGAAATATCCCATTGAGTTTGTATGTTTATGATCGTCTGATTATCCCTAGGAAATGGCTTAATGGTTAATAATTTAAAACTTTCAAAAGGTTAGTAGGAACACTGAGTCACGGCTATAAGTTATAATTTATGGGAAGGACAGGTATATATTTTGATGAAGTAAAAACACAGTGGCTGAAAATTAATCGACGTGATGAACGTATACCAAATGTTGATTGATTACAAAACATAAATTCTTAAAGTCAAAAGTGAGATAATATAGATGGGAACTGGTTTATCATTGTTAGTTATAAGCATTTATTGTAATACATGTGAAAGAGTTCGTAAGAATTGTTCAGAGGATTTATATCCTATAGGATTGGTAAG